TGGGGGAACGGGCTTCCTCCAGCCATCGACTTTGCTCCAGAAGGTTTGTGGTAAAGAAAGGGGTCTTTGGTACAAGTGATGAAACACTAGGTCACAATTATACGTGTCTGCAGGCTGTCCTGAGATGAGAGCTGTCAGAACAGAGCTTGCTCCTCAGTGCCACAGGAGCATCCAGGACCGCCCCGACAGCAGTATCCGGAGGGCAGGTGTCTGTGTGCAGCTCAGCAGAGGCCTGGTGAGCTCTCCAGGGCAGAGGTCCGCTCTACACTGTCACAGAGGGACACGGAGACCAAGCAGAGCACCCTCCATTCGAAGAATCTGACTTCCTGGTGGCTGGTGTGGGAGTATCTATGCAGTAAGAACCAGCACTGAAGATCTGCACAGGCCTGAGCCAGTATATATAGTGATTCCCCTGCTCCTGCCACATCTATTATTTTCCAGCTTTTGAAGGACAGCTGTTGAAAACAGGCCTGAACTGGTTCTTCTCCTGCACAGAAGCTCAGCTCAGCCATCTTGCTGGTGTTCCACAAGAGCAGGACAGCAGGTTGCAGCAAGACCCAGCACTAAAGATTCACACAGTCGCAGGCCTGAGCCAGCATGGGTGAGGCCCCCTGAGGTCCCGTCCTGCCCCACCCCACAACACCAGCCTGCAGAAAACCCATGTGTGCAGATTCTGACTCAATGGGAGAAGAATGCCATACTCTGGCTGGGTACCTGAGACCCCAGTGCTGTAAACCCAAGGTCCCCGGGGCCACCAGAAAGGAACAGAGCGGTGTTTGTTATTCTTTTAAATGTCTTTCAAGCATCTGGCAGATCACCTTAGGTAGATGTGCTGCCTGTTCCAGCGTCTGAGTGGAGGAAGCTGACTCCTGTGCCTGGCCCCACCTGCTTGTCGTGGGGGACAGTCAGGACAAGTGCACACTTGACATTTCTTCCAAGGCAGAGTGTCTAATGCACTGCCAACCTTGGCTCCAAGGTGGAAAGCAGGTAGAGACCCCCTCTGTGCATTCATGAGCAACAGTGGTGACTTCTCACCACGTCACCCCGCATGGAGCCACTTCCAGTAAAAACACTCAGGGTCCAAACATTATTCCCTTGTTCTCTAGCTAAACTTGGGGTGTAAATGCCTGGCTTCTGGTTCGAGTATGGGCACCATGCAGCTGTGTGAGTGTAGGCTACTCTCTTAGCCTCTCTGTGCCTGATTTGAAATGTTTGTAAAAAGCAGATGGTCAGACTGGCATTTGATTGGCAGACTATGGCCGATGGGCCCAATCGAAACGGCCACCAGCTTTCACATAGCCCTTGAGGTGGGAGAGGGTTTTACATTTTTAAATCACTGGAAAAAAAAATCAAAGAATGATATTTTGTGACAGATGACAATGATATGAAATTCACATTATGTGGAGTGCAATAAGCCAGACCAGACCCCCAAAGCTAAATACTACACGATTCCACCTCCACGAGGCCCCTAGATGGCCAAGTTCATTGAGATAGGAAACTTGCTGGGGGCTGTGGGATGGGGGTGGTTTTAATAGAAGCAGCTTCACTTGGGGAAGTTGACAAAGCGCTGGAGGTGGGTGGTGGGAGGTCGCTCAGCCTTGCGAAGGGGCTTCAACCACTCGAAATGGTTCAAAGGGTAAAATGTTGTGATTGTATTTTGCCAATAGAAAAAATTATATGGAATTTAAACTTCAGTGTCTGTTACCCCATGTAGCCACGTCCACTCACGTGGAAGCTCTGTGGCTGCTTCTGTTCTGGGGCAGAGGGTCCTTGCAGCGGAGATGGGACGAGCTGGGAAGCCTAAGTTATTTCTAACGATCTTTTCAGAAGATGTTTACCAAGCTCTCACTGAGAGTCAGAAACACGGTGTTTTTAGTAAGGGTGTGTGGCTTTGCCTCCCAGTGCTAATTCTTCATTTACTGCCTGGTTTGCTGCAGAACCAGGTCCCAACGTCACCATCTCCTTAAAGAGATGCTGGCTCCTTCAATGCTCTGCTTCAGTTTCACCGTCTGTGGGGGGTAAGACTTCATCTCACAGGATGAGAGGGTGGGTGTGTGCAGTTGGGGGTGACAAATAGGTTCCAGGATGGGGGCGATGGTGGTACCTTGACGTGACTTACTTAATGCCACCAAAGCTGCACTTAAAAATGCCTAATCTGGTAAATGTTATGTTAGGTCCATTTTGCCACAAGAATTTTTTTTAAAAAGAGTGTGTGTCCCGAGGTTAGAACTGTACCTGGTAGACAGCAAACACTCAATAATACAAGCTGACTGCATGAAACAGAGTTGGAATAAGATGATGGTGAAGATCTATGGCAAGCCTCCGGATCTAGGTGGCCTGTGCACTGTGTCATTTATTACACTCCCGTCTGTTGAGAGCCACAGCCGAAGGGGCCCTAGCAAACTTCTAGCTGCCAGCAAACTTCCAGCTGCCGCTGATGATTGGCTCACAGCGGCCCCAGCAACATCTAGCTGATTGGCTCCTCTGCGGTGATGCTCATTGGGCTGTTTCCCTGCCCTTTCAGACCACGGAGCTGCTCATTGGGGGACTTCTTTGGCTCCGCCCACATGACCCAGCCAATCGGCCTCAAGAGCAGGAGGATTGTGGGAGTGGGAGAGGCTTGTGTTTGTGAGAGGCTTGTGGGAAGCCGGTGGTGGCAGTTGGGCTCTGAGGGTTTTTCCTGAGGAGCTGTTTTGTTTGGCCGTGTGTGGTTCTAAAAATAAAGTTCGTTTCTTTTGACAAGTGGCTCTGAATTGTGCCCAGCCAGACTGCGGCACCCGTCTAGTCCTGGAAGCAGAGTCCACCTGCCGGTTCTAACACAAGGCTTTGGTGCAGTAACATGAGGGAAAATTGGGTAAGCATGGGGGGGGGATTTTCTCCTAATGAAGGGAGCCACCAACTAAAGGGACTTGTTTGGATTCTTCCCACCCAATGACTCCCAGGTGGCCTAGGAGCTTCCAGCTCCCCCCAGTCCCTACCCCCATAAGAATCCACCAGAAATCAGCAGCCCAGCAGGGCCTGCATGGCTAGTTGGGAAGGGCTCCTGTTGGTCCTGGCTTGACTTCCCTAGTACCGTGAGCAAGTCGTTTCCTGGGAGATGATGAAGACCATTACTGCTGCAGAATTAATTGTCTTAATTAATAGTGGAACTCTTCCGCTTTGACCATTTACTATTTTTAGCAAGATTTCCCACAGTCAACTTTGGTTTGTTTCCAAAATAATTGAGCTATGGCAAAACTAACCAGGAGGGGTCATTTCGTGGTGGCTTTCGGAGGCTCGAGTCTTCTCTGGGAAATGCACGCACAGCGCCAACCAGTCACATGCAGCAGGGTCAGAAGCAGCGGGAGAGCCTGGGAATTCTAGAAGCCTTCCTAGATAAGAGGAGCTTCGTCTCTGGTTTAAAAACTGCTGGAAGGAAACATGAGCAGAAAAAGGTGGTGGAAGCCACCGGCTCTCCATACCCGGGGAAACCGACTGGCAGGAAAGGGATCGCGAGACAGATCTGCACAAGCGCGCTCTGCTGAAAATCACCAGCCTCCGCAGAGCGCCCTTGGGTTTCAGCCTCAGCGTTTGAACAGTCTGGCCATCACTTAACAGGTCCTCTAACAAGCAGAAGCTTCTTTTCTGCAGGGCGGGGTGTGGGGGTGCTTTTCGGGGCCTTTCCTTGGCAGCCTGGCTTGGAAGAGGGGAGTGCCTTTTGCCGCAGTCAGATCCATAAAGACTAGAGAGAAACTTCAGCCTCTTGAGAAGAAACCCAGTCCACATGTGGGCACCTGATAAGACCCTGGGTGTGCTGGAGATACAAAATATGACAATCACACTGTGTGTGGGACTCAGAACAGGGGAGGGGAGGGGATCTGGGTTATGTTTTTAGCAAGTAAAGGCGTGTGTAAAGCAGAGATCGAAGAGAAATTCTGTAAACCTATCTTTACAGGCAGCATGCTGAGCATACTTGTTTTGGGGGTAAACTTGTTTGAAGAGTCTGTTGTAGGTAATACATCTTTTTAAAAAAATATTTATATTTATTTTTTAGTTGCAGTTGGACACAATACCTTTATTTTATTTATTTCTATGCAGTACTGAGGATGGAACCCACGTCCTCAAATGTGCTAGCCGAGCGCTCTACCCCTGAGCCACAGCCAAGCTTCCCAACTTCTCTGACGTTCACTTTTCTTGTAATTAGGACCCTACAGAACCTTGGTGAGGGTCAGAGACTGCCTCCACACAACTCCTCTCAGCCATGTTCTGGGAGCTTAGCATCCACGGAGGGGACCTGAACCTGGGCCAGAACCAGTGTGCCCCAACCCGGGTTCTGCTGATAGGCAATGTGACTTCAGGTCACTCTTAACCTGTTCAGGGCTCACCAGTTGTATGTGTCCATAGGTTGAACTTGGTGATTGCTACGAATCCTGTCTATTAAACAGCAATGGCTCGCTCTGGTGACTACATAACCATAAGTGTTCCCGCTGGGCAACAGAGTGCATGTCACCTTCAACAGCTAGCATGTGTCAAGTACTTCCTCATTGCTAGATAATGTGCCTGTAGACTATGATGTCATGTAATTGATTCAGCTTGTGAAGACCTAAGCTGAGGCACCCTCAGGCCACACCGCAGAGGTGACGCTCAGACAAGATCCTGCTGCCCAGCCAGCTTCCACACCGGCCACGGGGCTCCGCCAGGTGCTCCACCACCTACAGAAACATTTGTAGAGTGTCTGATGTCCTGTTCTATTCTGTGGTCCAGCAGAGCTCTCTAGAAACAAGTTCAAAGCCGCTCTGCATGTGAAGTGGGTCATTGCTAATAAGCTGAAGCATCATGACTTAGGCCCCGGCACAGGCCGGGCCTCGAGGGAGACTGGTAGTGAGTGGCCCCGCCTTTTCAGCTTGGCACACTGGGGAGCCGGAATAATCAGGGGCATTAGCTTAAGTAAAGCACTAATTTAGTAGGTGTGCTGGGTGCAGGGCATGTTTCAACTTGGTAATTGTCTTTATCCTGCACAGATGCGGGTCAGGTTCCCAGAGATGCCCAACCCTGATGCCAAAGAGAATCGGAGAGATCTACAAGGGGCTTAAAGAGGCAGCAGCACTGCTTTTCAGGTACAACTGGTTTGTTCCACACAGGGACATTGAGACAGGTCCCTGGAGAAGGTGCGAGTGAAAAGGAGGTGGCAGGTGTAGGAGCTTCGTCCTTTGAGGAGGGTCCCTTGAGGGTTAGACGTTGTTCTGGACCCAGTTTTGAGAGATGCTTATACATGCCTTCTTCCTCCATGACTCCTGGTCAGTGTCCTTCCCTCTGCTGTGGTTTCGTTGATGCTGGGCCGAATCCCCAGGACAACGGCCACATTGTCAGTCAAGTTGAGCTGGCTCTCCACTTGCAGCTAGGGGTCTCAGCTTGCCCATTTTGAGGCTGGGTAACCTCCACTGGGTGTCTGATCTGTATTAGCAGTGCCCGTCTCCTTCCCAGCCCCTTCCCCGCCCCAGGACACTGCAAGGAAAACAGAGGGACGATCCTGGCCCCGAGCCTATATGGGACTCCCAGAGCTGGGGGTGCGGGGGCTGGCGGGGTGGGTGCTGGTCAGCGGGAGAGCTGGGCTCCAGTGCTGTCAAGTCCACATGTGTGTACTTCCTCAGCACTTTCAGGACCTGAGGGCTAAGTACAGCTCTCAGGGATTTAGGAATGAAGGGGAAACCAAAGGTGGGTAAGTTGCTGGGTGCCCAGATGCATCTTGTGGTTTCAGGTCAAGGCCACCTAAAACTCATCTTCCATAGATCTCAGCACTGTCCTGCCTCTGCCATACCACACACCCAACTGGAAGATATATAGCTGTATATTTTATTTTTTGGTTCATTGATTGGTTGATTGGCAGAGGCAGGTTTATTTGCTTGAGTGTCTTGGCAGCCCTAGCAACTGGTCGAAGCACCTCTGAGCTCTACTGCAGCTCTCCATGTTGGCGACTGATGGAGCCATGGCCCAGGCCAGCTTCACAACTCCAGATGGTCTGTGGGTCTCTGCTGGCCCCTCCCCAGCCTCCCTCATCACACAGCACGTGGCCCCTGGACCAGCAGCAGCAGCAGCACCTAGGAGCCCGCTGGGCATGCAGAATCCTGGCCCACCCCAGGACTACTGAATCAGCCCCTGCCCTTGTAACATTCCCTAAGCTTGAGGGGACCCTGAAGCATGAGTGGCACCTGCCTTGGAACATGGCTGTCCTCCTGCAGGAGGCAGGGATCCAAGGCCTAGAAGCCGGAGGCCCTTCACACCCCAGCCTCCACCCTTGTCCTTTCTTCTACCTTTCGTCCACCAATGCCTCCCACCTAGTTTTGCAAGTAGAAATGCTGAAGCCAGAGACGGCAGAGACCTGCCCTTTGCCCTCCACTGGCCGAGCTGGGTGACAGCTGCATCCCTTGGGAGTTGCGCAGCTCTTGTCCATGTCCCAGGATGGCTCTGTCTTCTGATCAAGCAAAAATCTAAGCAGCCATGACCCACTCAACCCACAGATGCCGGGGGCTGAACCACAGAGAAGCAGCTTTTCTCCATGATCAAGTGTCCATTTACTGACAATTCTTCAGTGCTACAAAATTTGAAGCAACCTTTGTAGGATATTTGGTGGCCATGTTGCCGTCACATGTTGGATGGCAGGTGATCGAAATGCAGCTGCAGATGGCATGGGCCCTGGAATCGATTGTTCAAATTATGTCACTTTTTCAGATAGGACTTTGATTTATAGCTGCAGAAACAATTTTTTTTAATGGAATCACAGAACTACTGCAGGGTTCTTTTGCAGCAAGGAGATCTGCTCTTCCCAGGCCCCTCACTGGGTCATTGCTCCTCCAACTCCTGTGCTTCCACCCAATGGCATTGTGCCTGGTGACAGGGATGGCATGTTCCCATTTGTTCCTATCCCGGGTTCTGGCATGCCAGGTGCTGGTAAATGTTGGTTGAATGAATAAATATAAACGAGTCTGTGACTCGGTGGAACTTGCCTGGGTTTCTCTGATCCTCACTGCAGGTTTGTCTACACAAAGTCTATTTATCCGCATCTGCCTTCACGTGGTTACTCACGGTCCGTTTTGGGTCCCTTTTGTTTGATTTCAGATTTGCCTGGGAAAGCCTTGCTAAAGAAAGTAGAAAACTCTGTGGCGACAGCAGCTAATGGCTACATGTTAATTGCAGGGAGGAGTAGGGACCCTCATGGGCAGTGGCTGTCCACACTGGAGAGCCACAGGCAGCAGCTCTGCCTTCCTGGGTTCTGGAGCTGCCCTGGGGCTGAGCAGACACTTTCTGGAAGTCTAGTGTGGTTTTCACATTAGTTGCTGGGGAGGTTCTTGACGCTGTTTCTGACACTCACCCCTACCTCCCTATTTGCCCAGAAATTGCTAGAGCTGGCCTCCTGGTTGTGCAGGGCTCCTCGAGGGCCCAGCTCAGAGGTCCTTGGTGGGCTGGAGATGTAACATCTGCAGTGTGTGTACATGAAACCAGCCAGGGAGAGGTGAAATGAGTTAAAAACCAGAAGTGCGTGAGAGACCCTCGAAATTTCCCGTGCGCTCTGTCTCTGTAGTGGTAACTTACCACACAGGAATCAGCCCTAGGATTAAGCTTCACTTTAGTTAGTTTACAGCACTGTCACTTGTGGAAAACAGGTGTTGGACAATGCGTTTGGAGTTTGGAACTGAAAGGTGCAGAGAGGAAGTGGCTTTCCTGGCCTGATGGCAAGGCAGACCCCAAAGCAGGCGTGCGCAACCAGTGAAGGCCCCTGTCTGCATCAGGAGCATCCAAATCCAAAAAGAGAAAGAAAGAGTGGTGAGGCCAGGCTGGAGCCAAGCCAGCACTCCCGCCCATCTCGCACGTCGAGGCAAAGATGAGGAGAAGGCCACTTTCCCTGGCTTTGCACCCCCAGAATGCCAGTCCCCTGGCCAGCTGGGGCTGACTGATCCTTCTGCCCCTTCGTAGTCAGCCCTCAGCCCACGAGCCACCATAACAATGTGGCCAAAGTGGAGGGAGTTCGTCATCCCCCAACAAGGCCACCTATGGGGGTAAAGATGTGGGTGCTTGTCACACCTCCCACCAAGGGCGAGGACTCTGCTCCTCTGCTGGACTCTGAGCCCACCTCTGACTTGCTTTGCTTGGTAAGATGTGCAGGATGCAACTTTCAAGGCCTGGGCTTAGAGAGCTATAGCTTTTCACTCTTGGAAGGCTTCTGCTTGGAACCCAGCGCCGTGCTGAGGAGATCAGCGGTGGAGAGGCAGATGGAGGGAGTGGGGCTGCTGGCCACGGTGTGAAGGAGGGTGGGTTGCCTCCAGCCCCCTGAGCCTCTGGATCAGCTTCGCTCCTGAGTCCACCACGGGAGAGCCGAAGAACCCCCTGGCTGAGCCGTCAGCCCCCAGAGCTTGTGATAGTGAGCGGTTGTCACATTAAGCCACTACATTTTGGATCATTTGTTATGCAACAATGGCCAGTGGAGAGACTCAGAGCTGGGCTTGCTAACGAGATTTCGGAGGCAGAGGACTCATTCTCCTCATTTCTTACTAAGCTGGTGCGTGGCCGGGCCATGGATCGCCAGCGACAGTTGGACCTGGCTCCCGTGTTAGAGCCAACAGATCCTTGCAGCACACCCTGCCCACCGTTCGTTTCACATGCAGGTGACCATCCCTGTCCAGTGTCACTGCTTCCGCGGCTCCCTGGTAAGCCTCACCTGCTGTCTGTTAAGTAACCCTAAGAAGCCAACACTGCTACAAACCTCCTGCCTTAAGTCAGGCACCCTGGAACAGACTCTGGGGCTGGGGCTTGGGCACAGGGGCTCACAGAGGGCTGACCTCGGGTTCTCAGCCTTGGAGAAGCAGGACTGGTGCAGATGAACTGGGCTGCGGTCATGGCCAGGCACCATGGGAGCCCTCAGAGTTGTCACTCACTGGGCGAGCTCTGGGTCCCAGCCCCACCCCACCAGCTAGGCTGACCAATATGGCAGAATTGGGGGCTCCTGGAATGTGGGACCTTTGATCTGACAACTGGGGCAGTCTGGGCAACCAGGAGGGCTTGGTCACCCCACCCCACACCAGTTGTTGTCCATAAGCTGTCCCTGAGGATGACATGGCCTTGGGGAGGGCGGGCAGGGGCTCCTTTTTAGCAGAGAGCACTTACCCACAGCGGCCCTTGCTGCCAGCCCTCACGGGGACAGAGGGCACGACTCCTCAGCCCCCAGGGAGGAGCAGGGCACCTCCTTGGCATCCACAGGGATTCACTTATGCCCCCCAGTGTCCCTGGCCATGTCCAAGTGACAGCAGCAACAGGCCCTGACATCCTTCTGGTTTCAGGGACATGGCAGCTCCTTCTGCCTGGAGTGTGTGGGAAGGGGAGGGGCAGGCCCAAGCCCAACACCAAGGGCAAACCTTGTCAGTCAGAATGAGCCTCTGGGCCCTCTGAAGGAGGGTCCCCTCTGCTTCCCTTCTTTCTCCCTTCCCCATCCGCCCCCTGGACCCTATAAGCCAATGTGTGGACAAGATGCAGCCCCCACAGATGGGATCCCTCCATCCAGGATCAGACCCATTTCCAGGTCCCTTTTCTCTGTCACCTGCGAGGTGAAGCCTTGGCCCAACCCCTGAGATGTGTCTGGGTCTCCATCTTCCGAAGCCCAGCCTCTGTGTCCTTGGACCACGAACCTCTAACAGTCAAATGCTTTCTGAGCACAAACCACTATGTGACCAATGGGCCCAAAGAACAGGGCCCACTGCCATGCAGGCTCTCAGCGAATGAACGAGTGAGTGACTAAGTCACGGCCTGGCAGGGGCCTGAGGGGACCCAGGGTGAGTACGTCCTCAACGGCGCTGCAGGACTAAATTCTCTGTCGTGGCTCAAGTCAAGGCAGGAAGTGGTGAGCTTTCCTGGCACCTCCTTCCAGCCTGAGATTGAGAAAGGCAAACCCCACAATCAAATCTCCCTCCTCCTCCTGCCGGTGTGTCCCACAGGGGGGCAGATGCCCACCTGCGGACCTCAGTCACTATGAAGCGGAGGCCCAGCTCACTGCCCAGGTGCCTCGCTGTGCAGGCTGACAGGCTGGCAGCAGCAGATGCTGGGGCGCGTGAAGGTCACCTGCCTCGCGCCTCAGGCCTGCCTGGCTGGAGCTGGTGGACGCGCTGGAAGGATCTGCTGCTTGGCCACTCCCTCCCCCATAGCCTCCCGTGTTTCCTCTGAGCGGAACTTCTTCACACAGGCCCACAGGAGGGGATCCATAAACCAGGCTCATTAACCAGCTGAAAGGCAAGTAGCTGGGGACCCGGGCTGTGGCGCTAGGAAGATTCAAACACACCACATTTGTTTATTTTCTTAAAAGTTTCTGAGAGAATGTATATTTCTGCATGTTTAGAGATTGGCAGCCCCAGAAAATGAAGTTTATTTATCCACCAGATACACATCACATAAACAGCTGCACACGGCTCTGCCTCCCCAAGAGGCTGCTGCGCTGGGTCCTGATCCACGGCAGCTGAGTGACGGCCCCACGTTCCTGCACACTCTGCCCTCAGCCTGGCCTTGGGGTGAGCCTGTGGGAGGCGGGCAGCCTGCTTCTGGCACTGGGTGGGGTTGAGACCAAAGCTCTATGCACTGGGGAGAGCTTCCAGAATCTTCTCTGGCAGTTGCAAATCATTTCATTGATGTGTTCACTCCACAAATAATGCTTGTTCCCAGGCCCTGTGTTAGGCTCTGTGGATGCCCAGATCAGGCTGGCCCCTGGCAAGCCCTCCTCTCCCAGTGGAGAGCCTGGAGAAGCAGTGTCCTGAGGGGCCTGCCTGTCCCTTCTGTTACCCCAGCAGCGACAGCTGTCCCTCGTCCTCCTCCAGCTCCCTTCCCATGAGTGCCTAGGGAAGTGAGCTCAAGGACGCTTCCGGAAATGAGAAGAGGTCAGGATGCTAAAGTGTTTGGAAGTCATTCTTTGCTCCCCATGAAACTCCGCGGCGGCTGGGGACCACTCTGCGTCTGCACGTGTTTTAATTTATTAAATGCGGACGTCCAAAAACCCTGGAGCCAGACCCCTGGGCTGCTGAAGGGATGGATCAGACCTTTCCTCTTCCTCTGCATCTCAGGGCAGGTAACATGAGTGAGCAAGGGGAATCAGCCCTGGCAAGCTGGCCCCAGAGCTATGGCCCCTGGAAGGCTAGCTTGGCAAGAGGGCTCAAATGCTATTTTTCTTTCTAGGAAGAGCAGTTTACACTTACTAGATGGATTGTCATTGGACCAGGAGAGGCAGAGGTTGCAATTTCTTGTCCCCAAATTGCTTTTCTTGGGAACCTTGCTGCCCTCGAGTCAGCCCCTTCCTTTCTCTCCAGCCAGGAGCAGCAGGACTCGTGGGCAGCCCTGGATCCCCAGGCCCTGTCTTTAATCAACCTGCCCTACCAGGTGCAGCACCCGAGGGTGGCCTCCTAGCACAGTGGGACTTGGACAATGGCCAAGATGTGCCTTTGGATGGACTAGGAGATGGGAGAGGGCCACAGGATGGGGCACACGGATAAGTAAGGGGCCAGAGGGAAAGCTGAGCTCAAGGTGAGCGGGGCCAGCCAGGAAGGGAAGCCAGGAGGAGACACGGTTCTCCACCTCCTGTCACACACTCACTTGCCGTCCTGGTCTGTGCTCACAGTGACGCAGAAGGGACCCGGCATGGCTTCCAGCTACTGTTTATTAAGCCAGCCAGAATTAGGCCCTGTGCTAATGGCTTTTTCAGCCGTGTTTGAATTGTTTGGGGATGAATGGTGACCCTGTCAGATAGAGGCTCAGGTCTTACCCCCGGTATCTATGAATGTGACCTTATTTGGAAGAAGGATCTTTGTGGCAGATGTCATCAAGCTAAGACACGTTTGAAAGGGCCAGCCCTAACTCAGCATGACTTGTGTCCTCACAAAAAGATCAAGTTGGTCACGTGCACACAGGGAGGACACTGTGTGGTGATGGATGCAGTGAGCAGGTGCCGCAGCAGCCAGCTGAGGATGCTGAGGTTGGCCCGGGACTGCTGGTGACCAGGAGGAGCTGGCACAGCCCGGAAAGGCGCCTCCT